GAAGATTAAGCAGAAAGGAGTTATTTGGACAGAGATAACATAGGACAATAATTGATTGTCATCATCAACCCTTTAAGCTACGACTTGCAAATCATGGGATGATTTAATCAGAGTTTCACCATACCACATGGGAAGGATCAGCTTCGTTTCAGAAAAAGGGAGAAGTAAAAGGGGGAGGTTCAAAGAACAACCAGATATCCTTATTCGAATGTTTAACACGCGGAGGGTGGCCGATGCGTCTGTCCAGGGAGAGTAGGTCGTTTCCATGGCGACAAGGGGTGCATCGGACTGGCACGTATTGCTAAACTGAACGTACCCCCCTGGCGGCCTCTAACCTCCCCCATATATTCCGCCTCCTGCGGAATATCCTACCGTACTCTGGCTGCCTTCTCGTGGCTGGGTCATCCCTCCCGCAGGAATTAGGTTACTTCCTGGAATTGGGTTTTCCGAGCGGTTCCTCGGGCGCGCGAAAAATTTCTCATCCTTCCACAAAGATCGTAGGGTTTCTCCGACCCAAGGCTATGCTCTGGGACACTTTGCAGCAGAACCCACGTACGATAGTCGAAATGAAATGATTAATTAACATTCGTCCTGGTCGAATAATTCGCGCGTAAAGGCGCGATTAATTCTGTTCCACTGATAATAGTCGACCTACTTTCGTCCGCACTTTTTACCTCGTTAAATATTCAACCAATGGTCTCTTGTTAGACTGATCTTTTATTTCTTTTTTTTTCTTTTTGTGGTAGTGATAGGGTTAATTTGTGCGAACTGATTGAACCTTTCTTGGTGTTTCTGCGTATCGTTTTTAGATCGATCAGTGTACATGATACACATGTCTTTTTGAGGATGCGGTGGAAACTGTTTGTGCAACGTGATGCCGAGAGAACGGTAAACTAAACGCACCCTCTGGCCTTTTTAGCCCTTCCCTGTCGTTATTCTACGGAATAACCTGCTATCGATGTCCTTTGAGCTGAATCAGGATGCGTCATCGGGAGGAATAGCCTATGCTGTCGCGTGTTGGAAGCCATCAAACAGCCTGAAAGTAGTACGAACATATATTTTAACCTTCGTTCCAGCGTAACCCTGTGAGATTAAAGAATGTATCATTTTTCCCTTTACTTTCTTTTTTCTTTCGCTTTAACCGGAGCTGAAGACCCAGTTCTTTCATCAAAGGAGGACACCCTGTATTATTCCAGGGGATACAGAGGTGCACGACCTAGTTACGCTTGGGCGTGTTATATGGGTCATAGACACCATTCGCAGCAAGTCATACGTGCACGCGTACATGGATGCACACGAGGAGACACATACTCTGGAAAATTATGATAGTACCCACGAAAACGTGCTCCTCCGAATATGGAGTAGTAAAAGTTTCATAGCTAATCTACTATATGGTACCTGCAATTATCAGCAAGTGGAACTCGTAGACCTGAAAATGCGGATTCGGGATGAACAACTGAACCTTATCATGGGTGAATTCTCTATTGGAATTTCTTAAACGGGGATAGTATATAACAAGTCGATCTAAACTATTTTTATAATTTGTCTGTACTTTCAACTTCAATTCTAATTACTTTATCCTATCGAGCAGCGCACGGTAGCTTGATCAAAGGAGCATTCTCGAAATCTTCATAGAAAAAAGGTACCATGGGCACACGTAGCACTCTCAAAGTATCCTTCTCGAACGAGGGAAGCTTTTCAGTGGATCGGAGTTAAAAGGAACGAGCAGAAAAATACAGGAAAATGGAAGCAGTTGGGTTATGCGAGAAAATTGGCTATCCAAGTTCTATCAGTAAGCTCGCGTGTGCATTGCCAGGCAATTTGTAACTTTCAACTGTACTACGATCATGTGATCGCTGCACACGTCCAGGAACTGTTAACAGTAGGCACATCGATCATTTCCATTGAAATTAACGCGTATAGTATTCTTTCTTCCGGCTTAAAAGGCACCACTTGCAAATTGTATAAAATATATCTGCGAAAACCTTTTAGAGACTTTTTGCGAATGGATGCAAAGAACATAGAAAGGTAAAAGGTGGAACTACTCTAGGAAGTTTTATTTCCTTGATTTTGTAAGTTCTTTCTAAAGATCTATATCGATGAGAATCGAGCAATACAGGATTTAATCTTCCGTTTCAGATTCTCCCAAGAGCTACAGATGCTGTTGTCTAAACACGTGTTACTTCATCCCTTCGGTAACATGGTCATGTTCTTCTGATATTCTAAAACGTTAAGCTACTCCGAGGTGCTTGTAGGGTATGAACCGAGTTTCCACTAAAAATTCTACGAAGAATCCCGAGGAACCACGAATCTCGTTATGATCGTACAATTAGAATCATCGTACAACAGTGATTCAGCCGACACCCGGTACACTCGAAATACGCGCACGCGTGCACTTGCCTGACATACGGATTTTCCTTCTCCCTCTATCTATATTCTCTCCAGAACCGTTTCTCTTCGATCTCCATCCTCGCTGTATACTTCTTTCCCATCTTTGTCGGGAATTTTTCAATTCTTCTCTTGTATTCTCGTTTTTCTTTTTATCATTTCCATCCCCTTTTGTGCTTTAGCGTTCTATGACTGGTTCAGTCTCTCTCTATCTCTCCCTCTCTCTTTATTTCCATCCCTCCCTCGATATCGCTCTCCTCGTCGAGTCCGTGACTCGAGGGACCACGACGCGTTTCTCTCTCAGTCTCTCGCGCAAAGCGGTTTCGTGGCGACGTATCGTTGCACACGATAGATTGTGGCTGGTCCCGGTCTCTTCTACGTGTATCCCTTTGTGTGTGTGTGTCTCTCTTTCTCTTCTCTCTCTCTCTCTCTCTCCACCCTTGTGATCTTGGTGACAGTCTTAGTTCTCCCATCTCGGTGCGTTCCTCTTCGTGTTACCACGTTTGCATCCCCTGCTGGAAAATGATCAAGCTGACGGTTTGGTCCGCGGTAGAGCATGGATCACCGTAAAAAAGAAACGTGGTGGTTGTTGATTGCGACTCGTGCTCGAGATAGCGGTGAAGGAGGAATCACAGGCCGACAGAGAAAGAGTGGATTGATCCATTGAAATTAACGCGTATAGTATTCTTTCTTCCGGCTTAAAAGGCACCACTTGCAAATTGTATAAAATATATCTGCGAAAACCTTTTAGAGACTTTTTGCGAATGGATGCAAAGAACATAGAAAGGTAAAAGGTGGAACTACTCTAGGAAGTTTTATTTCCTTGATTTTGTAAGTTCTTTCTAAAGATCTATATCGATGAGAATCGAGCAATACAGGATTTAATCTTCCGTTTCAGATTCTCCCAAGAGCTACAGATGCTGTTGTCTAAACACGTGTTACTTCATCCCTTCGGTAACATGGTCATGTTCTTCTGATATTCTAAAACGTTAAGCTACTCCGAGGTGCTTGTAGGGTATGAACCGAGTTTCCACTAAAAATTCTACGAAGAATCCCGAGGAACCACGAATCTCGTTATGATCGTACAATTAGAATCATCGTACAACAGTGATTCAGCCGACACCCGGTACACTCGAAATACGCGCACGCGTGCACTTGCCTGACATACGGATTTTCCTTCTCCCTCTATCTATATTCTCTCCAGAACCGTTTCTCTTCGATCTCCATCCTCGCTGTATACTTCTTTCCCATCTTTGTCGGGAATTTTTCAATTCTTCTCTTGTATTCTCGTTTTTCTTTTTATCATTTCCATCCCCTTTTGTGCTTTAGCGTTCTATGACTGGTTCAGTCTCTCTCTATCTCTCCCTCTCTCTTTATTTCCATCCCTCCCTCGATATCGCTCTCCTCGTCGAGTCCGTGACTCGAGGGACCACGACGCGTTTCTCTCTCAGTCTCTCGCGCAAAGCGGTTTCGTGGCGACGTATCGTTGCACACGATAGATTGTGGCTGGTCCCGGTCTCTTCTACGTGTATCCCTTTGTGTGTGTGTGTCTCTCTTTCTCTTCTCTCTCTCTCTCTCTCTCCACCCTTGTGATCTTGGTGACAGTCTTAGTTCTCCCATCTCGGTGCGTTCCTCTTCGTGTTACCACGTTTGCATCCCCTGCTGGAAAATGATCAAGCTGACGGTTTGGTCCGCGGTAGAGCATGGATCACCGTAAAAAAGAAACGTGGTGGTTGTTGATTGCGACTCGTGCTCGAGATAGCGGTGAAGGAGGAATCACAGGCCGACAGAGAAAGAGTGGATTGATTTCGAGACGCCGTGGAGCCCGGCCAACGCGTGCGTCCGGTTTACGGTACGAAAAAAACGAGAGGGAATCGCGAGTGGAAGGTCGTCGCGAGACATGATCTACGATAGATCCTGTGCACGGAAATTAAGCGATCTTGCGTTCGTCGTTTACGAGTGATCCGATTATTTCATCGGGTTTTTATGCCTGAAAGATCTCGGAATTCGTGTATTCAGTGGTATATTTGTTGAGGCTGTGGATCAAACGAGGAGCACGATGAAAGTTGAACGTTCGAAAGAATCATTCAGTGATCTGTTCACGTTACGCAAGTGATCAAGTCGATCGATCTCGGACGCATTGTCCAGCCGAGCATTAACCCACATTAACCTTTGTTACTTAATCTAGAAAAAATTAGTCGGTTTCATGGACTGATCATCAGCTGTCATTGTGAGACAACAAAAAAACATAGTGACGCGAATTGAATTTAATTTACGTTTGTATCTTTGGATATTTCAACGAAAAATCTTTACGAATCCTTCCGCGAACGCGTACTTGTTATCGTAAAACTCTGTAACTGACCTATCTGAAGCCTTATCAGGCCAAGCATCAGGGACTTTAAGAAACTTGAATAGTCTCTTTGTTTTTCAGCTTTTTTGTTTTTTTTGCTTTGATGTTAATCCTTATCTTTCCTATTAATTTTTAGACAAGTGTAACGGCGAAGCTTAAGGAAGGAAAATTAAGAATCTTAAAAGGGTGAAAGGTTTTCGAGTGATAGCAGAGAATAGATTTCGACGATGATGATCGATAAGCTGATAGTGAATCGTGTGAGATTTATCATCGATCCAAAGCAGTGAATAAAGTTCGGTTTTAGTCAAGAGAGAAGAGAGAGGGAAAGGATGTCTCATACGAAGATGTAGCCGTGTTTTCGAGTCACTTTGTCGCAATGATTTCTTTGTCTCTTTATCAATTGATCGTCATGGAGATTGGCCTCTGGAGGTTGGTTGTAGTTTTACTAATGACAAACATTGACGATGATTCATTATTTTACTGATATCGTTTTCTCTCTACCATAGAGAAAGACAATTTATAAATTGAAGTACAGGTTGAATGAAATTGAAGAATATATCTGTTGTCAGTGAGGAGCGATATTTGCGAACGTACACGCGTTTAATAGTAATCGTATGTACTACAGAGAACATAATGCTTTTACCGCACAGTACCTTTACATTATGGCGTTTGCAATTAACTTCGTTCTTTCGCATGATACCTTTGTTTTACAGTGTTTCCAAAACGAGATGCAGTTCTATATTCGTGAAAAATTTGATGGTCCTGGCAAAAATTTGTTGTTACTCAGATAAACGAGTTTTGTCACGCGTGACGCTGCTTGCATGCACAGAAGTGTAACAGCTAATTTGTGAACAAGACTCAATTAACGTGAAAAGTGGAAAATCAATCATCCATAGGTTCATAAAAGTAGTAATTTTTTCCTTTTGTTTTGTTTTCAGACTGATCGTAATCAAATTGCTATGTTTTTTTTTTTTTTACAAAATCATGACCGTTGCGTTGTATTTGGTTACAGAGTGTACGATGTTGGAAGGTGGACGTGCAGTGATTTGGCTCCTTGTATCAGCCCCACGAGCTGCACGCCACCCGAAAGATTCACGTACTAACCCAGTTGCACCTGTTTGAACCCACCAGTTGCAGAGTCCTGCACCGTAACCCCATGACGCATTTAACACATGGCCCGCCTGGAGAGTAAGTGTTATTCACGCTCACAGTTTTTCATCTCTCTGCTCCTCTTCGCTTTTCCTTCCAAACTCTGATTTATTAGACGACCATGCACGCGCGTGTGGCCAACAAGTTTTCCAAGAAACTTGGCGGCTTCCGTTTTCTTTCAACAAGTATACTTTGTACATAGGAATCTACAGATCACCGCTAATTGGACCAGGAGCTTGGAGCAAGATTCAGTTGATAATAAATGAAATGTTTCATCTTTCTGCAGTTATTAAGAGTTTCTTGATAAATAAAGTCGAGGAAATGTTGTCAGAACTACGTTTTGGTTGTTCCAGTACCAAGTATAGTGGTGCATAAAGGCAGCAGGTCGCACAGTCGACCTGAGAGTCCCACGGTGGTGGTGCGCGGAGGAATGCCCTCACTGCCATCCTCCAGGCAAGGCTTCATCATAAGTGGCTCCAATACATCATATCAGAAAAACTCGGAGTCAGATATGATAGACGGGAATGCCAATCCGAATGTCGGCTCTTCTCCTACACCGAATTCATTCCACCGTAGCTCGCCCTCTTGTCCCCCTGACAAATCAGACACAGAAAACAAAAACTTTCGTAATAGGGTACGTGTCTGAAGTGTCTGAAGATTCTGAAAACCAGTTCTTAGCCTTTATTGTAGGGTATTGGTGTTAAAACGAGTGTAAAATCCTTTTTAGACGAATACGAAAGTGAAGTTGCTGGTCAGGAGCCATGCTATGAGAGAGTCGACGTCTCCCCCGAGGGAGCCACACAACGGATCGTCGTCTCCACATAGTCCTCAATCGGTGGACGGTGAAAAGAAATTCGTGGGCAGCCTGTCTCCTAATTCCACTAACACGAAGCTCAATAACAACGAGTCAATGTTCAACAGCAATCTTTGTCCGAATCAGTCTCCGAAGCAAATGCGTAACACAGCTACTTCACCCACTTGCCGAGCTCCGTCACGAAATGGTAACATATTCTTGCCTACATACAATCACTTTTAACAGGATTTAAACTGCAGCGACGATAGACATTTATCCTGATCGTAGGTCAATCTAGTCCTTCTCAAGTTCTCTCGCCAAAGAATAATACTTCTCCAACGAATGGTAATAAGTCGGAGAATCATCGCTCCGTCAAGATGACAGGCTCACACGTGATCCAGAAATGCAATAATTGCGTGAAGAACAATCAAAATGATCGACCTGGCTTGCTTCAAACGCCTGTATCTCCTTCAAAGTCTGGTCAGGCGTTACAGCATTCACCGAAGAGCACCAACTTGGCTCAAAACGCGCAAAACAATCATCAGAATTCGGAGCAACGTAGGCCGAACACATTGAATATTTGCAACAACCAATGTTCGACTCAGTGCGGCAATACTTTGTCCGTAAGCAGATCTGGTTCTCAGCATAAATTGAGGCATCAGAATTCTTCCCAGGGTAGCTTCGATAGCGCATCCCCTTGCCTCTCACGAGGTTCGTGTTTTATATTTTAAATATCTCAATTATTTTTTCAAATATTAATATAATTTTGAAAGAGGACAATCATTTCCTTCACAGATAGCAGTACGGACTTGTACACGGACAGTACTGGAATAGATCTGGAGCATTTCATCGCAAAAACCATAAATCGTAATCAGAAGGATCGAACGGTGCTATTAAAAATCGAGAAAGATCTAATAGGGTTTGCAAAAGATAAACAGAAAGTTTGTCATAAATTTCCGCATATGACCTCTTACAATAGAATGTTGGTGCATCGCGTGGCAGCTTACTTTGGCATGGAACATAATGTAGATCAATCTGGTTCTAGTGTGATAGTTACTAGAACAAAAAATATGAGAATTCCAAATACTCGCTTTAAGGACCACATCAGAGATGATTTGATTCTATCTGAAGAACCGCGAAGGAGTATTCTGAAAAGAGATTCTAGCTCATTTGAGGATAACTTTAATTTCAAATCACCTGATAGGTTGTCTGGCGATTATTGTCGACAAAATAAGAGTTTCGAGGAAAGGGAGGAGGAGTATGAACGTGCCAGGCGAAGGATATTTAAGGATAGCAGCGGAGAAAGTAGCGAAGTTACTTCATGGCCATATTGGTCCTCTTCAGAGAGCTTCGATGCTTCTGCGAAATATCGTTTATTACATCCTTCGGATCACACGATGAGGTGAATATTCTAATAAAATTATTATTGTACGTTTTTAATGTAACAGAGAAATTACATTATGTATAATAGGCAAACAAAGCTCTTGAAAGGGGAATCTTTTGATGGAAGAGAATCTTGTCGTGGTTCAGTATTGAGACCATCTGTTTCCAAGTCCTTTAGTTTCGGTGGTTATACCAGGGGAATGCTTTCTAGAGGAGACAGTGTTACGTCTACTCGTAGTGCAGGAGCTCGTCTTATGAAACAAGGTTCGTTTTTTACAAGTTCATTCTTCTGTAAATCATTTAGTATCACACATGTATTTGTACAGTCCGAAATACATCTATAAATTAGAGATTAAATTTGTTGCAGACTCAGGTGCTAGTATGTGTTCCCGGCTAAGCCCGTCGAGTAGCGGTTATAAATCACAGAGTCAACGCAGCGATGCAACGATATCGCCGTCTCCATCGCCATCCCCTGTGGCAACCATGACCTGCAGTCATACCCAAGTATCTAGTCACGATCTCGCTTCTCCAGAATCGAATAATCAAACGGTTATATGGGCCGTTACTAGTATATCAAGTGTACCGCCAGGTAGCATAATTATAAATCCGCAAACGAATCAGCCACATACAAATCCGGATGGTTCAATTTATCGCTTCGATCCAGAGAACCCACCAAAATTTTATACTTCTTCTGCATTGCCACATGAGAACGAGAGGAATAACATGTCGCCCGTCAAAACGATAGAAACATCCGAGCCATCCAAAGTTACAAATAACATAAAAGCTGAAAATAAGAAAAAATTGCAATCTAGTAAACACAATGGTGGTGGTAATACAACGACAGTCACGCATGTAACAAATTCAGCGACATCGCCAAGTTTGCCGTTTACACCACCACCTCAACAGAATCCTGGACCATTACAACAACAACAACAGCAACAACAACAACAACAGCAACAACAACAGCAACCGCAGCAGCAGCAACAAACTCTAGTCAAATCGTCTTCGACAGTGCAAACTTGTAATCATAATCCAGCAGCTCATCCATACACGACCTATGTACCTACCTCAGAACCGTATAACCAGGGTGTATATGCACCCCCTGTGGGACAACAGACTGTGATGATGGCTCCCCATCCAAGTCAAAGTCAAACGAATGTGCAAAACAATGGCCAAGGTGATGTATTTAATCAGAATTCGGTTTACGCGAATTATGCGGTACCTGTACAGCAAGGGCCAGTGTCGCAAACAACGGAGATAACTGAATTGTCTGGATATTTTATGGGTATGAGTATTTACGATCAACGTGTAACTGGTGATAATCATTCTACGCCACCACATTCCTACCCGCAACCGCAACCATCTACAAATCAAACTGTGCAAAATGTACAGACAATGCCGCAGAATTATTGGCAGCCACCACCCAATTCTGTACCGGTATGAAATGTTACTACTTTACTATATTTTTTAATATAATTTCATGTCAATTTATTAGTTTTGTTTTATTACTTTAGCCACAACAAACAATGTACTTTGTACCTCCACCTGGTGCAGCACTTTCGGTTAGTCAGGGTCCAGGTGATAGACAACAATTGCATCAACAACAGCGATTTGCAACAAATTATTCTTTCAATGCACAAGCTATGACTCCTCCGAGCCAATCAAATTGTAAGCGGATTTTTTTTTTTTTTTTTCTATTATGGTATTATGACTACTTTTTAATTTTGTTTCTATTTTAGCTAATTACGTGGGTAGTTATCCAGTCCATTACAATTCGATGCCTGCTGTAACACCAGCACCAGGCGATTACACGTATCAACCACCAGTTCATATGGTCCCTACATACTATCCACCAGGTCAAACAGCAATGCAACCACCACCTGTCATGTACAGAGTACCAACACCACCAAATACTCCAACTTCTAATCAAGTAATTATTATCTTATTTAATTTTGACGCGTGTATTTAATTAAATATAGAAGTATTATAATTGATTAATTCACAGATGCCTGGGATGCCGTTGATGTATGTTAACTCTGGCAGCTATCCACCACCAGCGATGGTATCTAATGGAACTTTCGGTCATCAAGTCGGACACAATGGCACATCACCTGCGCCTCCTGGGACCTACATGGCTCCTGCTTTGGTTCCCAACCTCGTTTTTAGGCAAAACGTTCCTGTAAGTTTCTTGTAATAATTACATTAAACGTAAATGTTAAGAACAGTTTAATTAGGTAGGTTTTTAATGTCTCAGGTCGTTACTGGTGTCCGAGCTTCAACGCCGGGTAACTCTCAGAGAACAAGTAGATCGCCGACTCCAGCACACGAGCTGTTCGGAAGTGGGAGCGGGGATAGAAACGCACAACCCCAACCACGTTACCCACTGCCAATGTATCAGGGTGTCCATATTGTCCAAGGTATAAGACGTTCATTTTAATCATTTCTATTAAATTACAGTTGAACATTCTTTGTTACAGGAGATATGAGATTGATGCATCCTGCAGTACCAGCTAATCCGCGGTTGCAGTATGCACCAGTACCATCACCACCTGTTGTTCAAGGTTGTCCACGACCATATCGACCGCCTTCTTATTCGTCTAACACTTCAGGCGCTGGTACTCCCACGTCGTTTGATGGGAGAAATCAGAAAATTCGTAAACAGAGGTGATTTATTAATCTTTATTTTTTCTCGTTGAGTTAATTAATTGTCTATTAAAATATCAATATTCCTATATTAGTGTTTGGTATACTGAAGAAAAAGCTATATATTAATTATTGTTATATTCGTGATGTTATCGAAGTATCGAAAGTGCAACATATTAAAAAGGAAAAGGAAACGGTAATATTACTTGTTCATTAGGTCCAAAGTAGCACCGTTGCCACCAACAGGCGCGCGGCCCAATCTTTATCAAACTCCTTCCATGCCATCGCTCTCGTCTAACGTTCCGAAAGATATCAGAGAAGGTAAGAACTGATATTATTCATTAATTAGTTAGATGTTTGCTCGGTACGTTGCTTGAAAGTTCTGTTACTTTCTACTTTTGTTTCGCTTATAAAGAATGAAATGTGACACAATTTTTGACACGTTCTTGTATCTCCTTAAAAGCGAAACCTGTGGAAGACAAAATGATATAAGGTACAGAACTTCAGTATAAAATACTTCAAAAAAAACACACGGTATCTACATTGTAACATAGGTGCTTCTTCACATGCGTTGATTTCGCTTTGTCGATATTTGTTATCCGTGTAAAAATATGCCTGGAAAACACTTCCTATTTTAGGGTATCATGTTATCATGTAAGTCAATGAAAATTATTGCATATATGACTTTTTCAAAATAAGAAATGGGAAGCATAAATTTTCAGTGCATATTTAACTGTAGCACTGTACGCTTACACACTCACGCGCACAGGTTTCTGTAGGAATATTTACTTTTATGTCATCTATTATGCAAACATTGTGTTTGCTGCACAATAATCTAAGTTGTTATTGTTTCACTTCTTATGTTACTTTCGAAGCATACACCGAAACAACGACATCATGGTGAATCTTTGATTCGAAATTGTTACGTTTGTAATTTTCTTTTCGGTTTTAGTTACAACTATACACATTTGCAATTCATTGTGCAAACCCTGTACGTGAAAGTACGCTTTAGATCAGCTGTTTATCGATATATATGATATACTGAGACACTTATTTAACGCAATCCTGATTTGCACAACAACAATTCACTGGCATTATGTCACGAGGTCCATAAAAAGGAGCTAGCGCTGCTCTCAAAAATACTTTTTTATTTGCAGGGACCGTGAAGGTGACAATCACCCGTCGAAATCAACTGGTACAATATTAAGTATTTGGGCCAATTTTGGAAGAGGATCAGCATTGAACATAAAGAAAGGACAATTAAATCGTTACAGGCTGATTGAAAAGAACCGCATAAGCAGCTCGTGGTTTACCGCTATACAAACACGATTCTTATTATTAATATTAATGATACTTTTAATTAAATATCTAAGAGAGGAGAAATATAAAAAGCACACACTACTAGAATATAAAATTCACATGTTACAAATTGAGGAAGAAACAAAGAAGAACGGAAACCTCCCCTAAGATAAAACGAACACATTATACATCCCTTTTGATAAAACGCGGAGGATGATATCGATAAAAAGAAAAAATGGAAGCTACATTGAATTCGTTCACACCGACTACATAATAAAATCTGAACTATCACAATATTCAAAGAAGAAAGAGAAAAACAGCAGAGGAAAAATTGGGTGTACAAAGGAAGGATAATCTGTGCGTTGTTTTTGGCGTAGGGCACGATAGACACAGTGGTACATACCGAACAGAGTTACTGAACAGAATTTTAACTATTATAATTATTATATATTATATATACAGTATATTATATTATATCTGGAGATATTTTAATCGCGGTTTTACAGATACTATATGAATGTGAGATTTACTTTTAAGGAAAGGTACTTTTAAAGTGAACACAGATATATATATGCATGGATTGCCTGGACCGGTCTACGGATCAGTCTCGACCGGCTAGGAAATCCTCATATAAATAACGATAAAACTAATGTACGAGTATTATAATACACGTTACTGAGTACGTTTACAACTTAAACCGCAATGCTGTCCAGCCAGAATCTCTGGATCGGCTCTACGTTCTTTCAGGAATGATCATTGCTCACTGATTCTTCTGTGTACTGCCACCAAAGAGTTGCGTTAATCTTAAAAAAACCAAAAAATAAAAAGAAGGAGGAAGAACGGAACAGAAAAATATTGCTGCCAGTTGTGATTCGTGGACAGAGTGAAATTATTTGCTACCTCATTTTTATATCGAAAAGATTTTTCTTATTATCGGCCTTTTATGGAGTTGTGAACTCTTAAAGAAAGCTTTTAATTTTTTTTATTCGAGGATGAGAATAACCGCACTTTCATCGAATATTTAATGATATTTGCAACGTGATTCATTGTACATAAGTATTGCATAACCAAATATTTTATCAGGGAGAAGAACGTGATATATATTTAAAAGATTCTATCTGGTATAATCATCTCTCTGATATTTTATATTCTAAGATCCTTAATGTTTCTGATCTCTGACTATTACTTTAGTACAAGTTAATATTGCTCGTGGAAAAATGTAAACGTATTCAGTATATGAGTCTATATAACTAGTTCGACACAAGTAGTTAAGTAGCGCGAAACCATCACAGCTTAGTATCACAAAAAGAAAACCTGCCTCGCATGCGTCTTTAAAACAATATTCTTTTTTTTTTCGTTCATTGTCCGTAAATAGGGAATTGATGTGAAGTTTTAGCTGATACGAGATGCGCACGTTTAAGACAATTTATTTTTTAAGGTTTCCTCGCGAGGAAAATAAAAATGAAATGCGACAGGCGCTCCACACAGTAACTATGATTCGTCTTCCAAGCTTCACAGCACGCTTTTGAATCCTATAGATATCCGAGCTACATAATTAGATATACTTTTCATGCCCAATTTTGCGAAGAAACAATATGTATCAGTTTGGCAGCGGTGATGGTGACGCGTGATCGTCGTAATTAATAATGTCTCCGTCTGTGAAAAAATTCATCTGCGGATCAACGTAGACGATCTTCGTATCATGATTAACATTTATATTAAGTTATTGAATCTAGTACCAACATAATGTTCAAATTGAATTCAATATTTAAGAGATCAGATTTATAAGTTTTGGTAAGGGGTGTACGTTGTTCCGCACAAGAAATACCAAGTGGAATCCATCCAGAAGCTTCGCTTACGGTGATTGTACTTCAGGACGTAGGTGAAGGGTGTGCCTATCTTTTTATGAGAATTTAATTGATGAAAAAACGCGCGCACCGCGACCTTTTATCTACCCTATGCCAAGTAACGCAAAAGAGAGGCACTACTTTCTTCATAAGAAAGCGTGATAAATTTAATTAAAAGCTCTAGATTTAAAAAAAAAAAAAAAGAGAAATAAGAAAAGAAAAGAAAAGAGATGAAGAGTGAAATCGAGAGAGACCTGAGCAGAATAAATATTAGGCGGATTAAAACTATCCAACGTTTCAATTATAAAGAGATGGGCGCACAATAAAGTAGTGTTTAACTGTACCTAAAGTCGTCGTAGTGATTAATGAAGATAATTGTACCTATAAAAAAAAAGAAAACAGTTCACGAATCTCTCTAAAACATAATTAAAAACGAAAGAAAAGAACAAAGTGAAACAATTATCGGCTATTGAGAGAAATTGCCTGCAAGTGCCGTTCGTCATCTTAAATTCGTATCCAGAATTACTCAGTCTATATAATTCTCAGTATGTTCATTATTAATTATCAGGAAGAGACGCGAGAAAATGACAGAAGGAAAGGAAAAGAAGTAATTTAATTTATGGTCGGGCGCTATTTGCAGGCAGTCGCGCTTACATCGTGTAACCGGAGCAGCTGAGCCAAAGTCATGATTGTAATTGCACAGTCACATTTATTTATTTTTCATTTCGCTCGCATGCGCTTTTATCAGGATGCTCGATGCATATGCTGTTGTATCGTGCTCATAACTTGTTTTGCTTAATGGAGCACGTTCTTAAGGGACGTTTCCTTCGGTTCGATGCATTCTTATTTTATCAGTAATTGCTTTATTTAATAGCTCTGCATGTTACGTTATGAAGTTTGAAAAGGAGATAATGCGTAAAAAATGACCAGCATATGCATCGAGCACCGTTCACAAGCGATTTCGTAAATTTGCCTGGGCTATTCTAAAGAAACAAGCAGAGTAGAAAGAAGGATAGAGAGAAAGAGAGCGAAAGAGAGGAGAGAAAGAGAAAAAGAATATCGACAGAATCATCTGTTTGTCGGATGATTGGCTCGAGGAACATTAAAAACTATGTATGATCGAAGAGAACGGGTGATAAAGTCATTGTAACTTCGCAAGACCTCACGTTCGTTTCCTACTATTTTTGTATGCAACATAAAAAAAGGAGATTGACAGTAGTGAGAGAATTAAAAAAAAAAAAAAAAAAAAACAAGAATTCTTGTATGAGAGAGTGGGAGAGGATGAAGATGACGGGTGAAGAGAGCATAAAAAAATTGAGGATGCAAGTTTCAAATTTTTTCGTTGGAGATCTTCACATCTTCCTGATCACCTTTCGTTGATTGCGTTGCTGCGTCGAAGACTTGTTAGCGTTTAAGTGTAGCCGTGTACCTGAAAATTGATTAATTAATTTTCTGCGCTCGATTAGCTCATTCTCGATAATAATACCGGCACGCGGCTGAAACTTTTCGTCCACATAAGGAGTGTAATTGAATTTTCAATTGTTATCGACGCGACTCGTCGTAGAAAGACGTTGCTTCACGAGAAGTGACAAGAATTTTATTTTTAAAGAGTAACGTTAATTAATTTTACGGCTGAATCAATGCCACAAATTAGCATTTCAGTTTGAATTTTGCGAGAAGTTCTGGCAACTTCCTCTTGCTGCTTCTTGTGAGGCATCTATCCTAGTACGTTAGATTGGAGATCGGTAACCTTTTAACTTGATTCTCTAGTGTTCTTTACGTTTCATTCATTGAACACTGTGCGGGACGCAGATAATAGACGACGATTCGTCTGTTGCCGATCTCTTTAGATGTTAGCTGGCGTGAACTCGACGTCTCATTGTTAAAAAGTTATCTTGCAAGATCGTTTTCCACGACTACTGAGTTTGGAACGCGATGTTCATAGTGAATATATTTGAAATTTAAATTGATCTTTGACTGAATGTAAATGGAATAACAAGGACAAGATTCGAGTAAATTGCACTGCGTATTTGCATTCTTTCCAGATCACATCTGATTGTTTCTTTTCCGTTCGACATATCACGTGGAACAAGAGCAAACGATGGCTGTGCTTTTATGCTTAATATTATAGTTTAGAGTTTTCTTTTGGACTGAGATTTATATGCAGGATACCTTAAACTCGTTTCTTGCCCTATGTTGATCATGAAGATCAGTCGTATATGCTTTATATTAAAGAATGAAAATATATTCAAATGTATTCACTGATAATTTTGAACTAAACATACCGTGTGAAGATGATGTTAACTCTTTGAGTCTCAGAAAGATTGAATTTGCATTAAGATGTTCGGTCTTTTCTATACAAAATATTGTATAATTTGTATTAAGTTTATGCAAAAAGACTTCCTGTATTTTTATGTAGTTTATAAAAAACATGTAGGAAATATGTAGAAAATACATACTGATGCTCAAAGAGTTGCATGGGGTAAAGATAACAAAGGAGATGAGTGAATGAGTGTGCGTGAGAAGGAAACAGGAACCACAAAAAAACCTACGACGAATCGAAGAATTCGTATGCATATGCATCGCGAAGGTGACCGAGAAGGTGATTGCAATTAGGAATCGTATGGTGGAAACAAAAGAGCTATACTACCAACCCAAAGATGCACAACATCATAGAGAGCCGGACAATTTGATAGAACTCATGTCAGTCTAATTATATTTCTTGTTATATTATATACATATATATATATAAAAATATATATATATATCATATTTTCCAAAAACGAATTATATATAATTCAATAAAAAAGAAGACACTCTCGTTTGATACTTTGCGAGATCTTTGAATTATTCCCGCCATCTATTATTCATTTTCTTTGTTTATATTTATATTTATTAATATTATCACTGTAAACAATTGTCTTTTTTTGTAACAATTGTTGTATATCGGCAACTTTTTAATTAGTTAAAGAATTTTATATGAATATAAATTTCATCAAATAAAATATAGCATCCGGGTGCCACAGAAACATGATACGTTTCTGTTAGTCGCTCTGGTGGCGATGATGAAAACTAAAGTTTGAAAAGGTAATTCCATTAAAGTGTACGCAGAAACAGTGTCAAACAATTAGTCAGAAACGTAGAGAATTTAATAACATACAACGATATATTATTTCTTTAAATGGTGAGAATGTTAACTTCCATTATTTTATGTTCATAACCTAGTGTTGTAGTGATATTCAGTGACACGATATAAGAAAATCGCTTTCAATCTATCAATCGAAATCATTTACATCAAAAAGTACAAATCGCGTTTTATTGAACTTATAACCTATCTAAATCATAAATTTTTGTGTAGTTAGTACATTGTAAATATTTTTATGTTGGAATATAGATTTCGTCGAGAAAAATACAAAATCTTGTCATTGTTCATGCATCAGTATTTATCGATCTATCGTACAGTACGAATTAACTGTTGCGTCATCTGATAGCGTATAAAATACATGGTTTTTGTAGGACATTGAGTAAATGTTTTTTTATGGTTACAAGATTTATTACGATTTCGTTATTTACACAAGTTCGTTGTAAGGTTTGGACAGGGGTCCAGAGAAACATTGCGGGATCTAGAAAAAAATCGCGTATCCTTACAAAAAGAATTCTATACAGGCATTTTTATCCCCAATGTCACTATGAACCAATGCCACGAATACGACGAAACGATAACGCTCGTTTATTACACATTTGTCGGGTACTTTCGATCCACGACGAAAATCCTTTACACTTTCGGTCGCTCGAAATTATTGCACTTTGTAAAAACATTTAACAAACATCATGATAAAGAATTTTTCATCGTTTTAATACTAATTTAGAACGTTTATACTGCTAAATTAGTTTGCGATATTTTTAATGAATGTTCTATTTGCAAATACAGTCCAAGACGTTCGTAGGATATCGTGTTATAATTTCGTGAGATTCTAGACGAGGTTAGGTGCAGTTAAATCACTCATTGCCAAAACATAGAGGTATTTTTTTCGTTTTTTTTTTTTTTTTTTTTTCGTTTTACGTAGTTTCATCATGAAAATTCTTATCATACGATGTTTTTATTTAGATTGTAGTTTTGAGCGATCGTAGGTGCATTGAAACTATCATCAGAACAAGCGGTTTTTTGTAAATCGAATTAATATTTTGTGTTCTTTTTTTACCGTTTTTTCAATTTCTGGTATAATAGCTCAAAAGTTACGAGTGTTACGTTTGAACGTCCATTCTTTCTTTTTTTCCCTCTGTTTTCTTTAAATGTAAATTTTACGATCTGTACCCACCACCACGTTGGACCCCGAGTTACGCAACCGCCTTTCAGCGGTTTCTCTTTTTCTCACAAATTAAAAACTAACAAAAAAAGAACGCTCCACGCGACAATGAAACTTCGGTACCCTGACGTTTTTCGATTCTTTTTTTTTTCAGATAAAGTCGCTAAATCTGTTACTACGATACGCTTTCATAAACAATTTTTTTTGCAAAAAGAATCGAAGGACCGGTGAGATAGTTTTACAAGGTACTTCCGAGATTAACGCGAATAATGTCGCTTTTTGAGATATACTTTATCCTATTTATTTTCCAGGTAAAAATCGGAAGTTCCCAGTAGGAAGGGTACCGATATCGGAGCAGCACCTCAATTCAATGGAAACTAGTTTACGTTTAAGCGTTATAATGGATTACACACTCGTTTATCGCCACACTCATGCGAGTATCCTGCAACCGCGGATACGAGGAAACGTCCAGCCTGTAGCTTCTTTTTCAAACACCTTTTTAATCTTTGGTGTGCATAGGACGATGTAACTTGGTTCTTTTCTCCTCGTTTCTGCGGCAACGGGACTTAATCTCACGTAACACCGAAGCACATAGTCGGAAGCACATAATAACCGACGCATCCCATACAAGTTTGCCAGGTTGCTCGTTCGAAGCAGCCTCGATTCGTTCAAAAACACAGCACAGAAACTTGTCTCTGATCCATTATCCAGGAGTAGGGGTCTCGTGTTCGTCATTCGTTTTAGATTGATCTGGTTACGAAGAGATTATGCATATATAATTAGATCATAATTGATGATTGTATACAGGAAATGGAGGTTCGTTGAATATCGAGTGTTAATTATCAGAACAAATTCATCGTAATGTACATGATTTTTACGAAGCTTAAAATTTGAAAATTTAACCGACCAAGCTCCACTTATCAGAGATTATTTCATTGCTACGAAATTTATTAAAAACAAAACAAAGTAGAGACGATGACTATAAATAGTAAGAAAGAGTTGCCATAGACGCGAGTAGGAATATGCCAACACTTGCTACGGAAGTCAGGGGAAGGAAACGACGGTAGTTAAAAATCACTGGGGCGTTTGATTCGCTTAAAAAGTGTCTCTGTTGACTTCACCTTAAACGCTAGAGTGAACTGTTCTGCGCTGGTGATTAAGTTAAATTACCGAGATAATGAAGACAGAGAATATTCGTGTGATGTGCGCCTTCTGTTTAGTGCGGCTGATAGGTTAGCTAGGACAGCGTATACCGGACTAGTATACAAAATGTATATTATATAATATAA